TCATTTCTATCATACTTCCTTGTTCTGTCAGAGGCTTCAGCAGTAAACACACTTTTCTGGATTTCTCCAAAATCAATCTTGATAAGTAAGATGTTCTCCAAACAAAACATGCTATCGATTTTGAGGGGAAAAACTCAAATCTCTATGTTTTATCTAATTCCTTGATGGTTAGACATCCTGAGGTAGTGTTATCTTACAGCTCAGAGAACTAGATATTCTTCTTTTTTTTTAATGTTTATTCATTTTTGAGAGACAGAGACAGAGTGCGAGCGGGGGAGGGGGCGGAGAGAGCCAGAGACACAGAACTCAAAGCAGGCTCCAGGCTCTGAGCTGTCACCACAGAGCCTGACGTGGGGCTCGGGCTCAGGAACTGTGAGATCATGACCTGAGCTGAAGTCAGACGCTTAACCAACTGAGCCACCCAGGAGCCCTGAGAACTAGATATTCTTGATGGGCAAATGTACTATGGACATTCTATCTGACTAGGATGTTCTTTCCCTCAAACAAGGCCTGGATTCTACATTTAGATGGTGAATGTTCAGTTCCTTCCTTGGAGCATAATGTAGCATTCTACTAGCTAACAGAACTTCTTTTTTTTTTTTTTTTTTTTTTTTTTTTTTTTTTTTTTTTTTTCTTTTCTTTTCCCTTCTTGTGCTTCAAAACTGATGTAACCATTCAGGGCTCTTTGAAGTCAAAGAAAGCTCTTAACCCAGGAAAACTCTGATGCCTGGGGCAGAGACTGTCAAAATAAATGAGACAAATGGAAAGGAATGTTAGGAGAAAAAGAGAGGTTGAACCCTTTGAATGACTTGCACCATGTTGATGCCCCAGTCGTTGAGAATCTTGTATACAAATCAGCAAGTATACAAGATGGCTGGTGTTAAAAGAAAAGTAAATACACAATAAGAAGGGGTTCCTACAGTTGAATACTATCCGGACCAGGAAGTGAAAGTTCATATATCAAGGTAACAATTATTCTGTCTTGATTGGAGATGCTAACTTTCAGTCAGGTAACTAAGGATCAAAAAACATAAAATATGACCTTGGACGTATCGCATATTTTGGTTTTCTTACCCCGATATGATATTGGAAAGATTTGTTTTGGTTAGATTTTTGCCTTTTAGGGTCCTCAGCTCCAGGAATATTAACATTTATAGTTAGACTTAATTAATCATATTGTGGTATATATGAGTTAATCAAAACCAAATTATACATTAAATTGATGCACGTGAGTCTCAAATACTTCTACCTACCTATTGCTTAATTCTATGAAATTTCTGCATTGCTTCCATGCAAAGTGAAAAAATGCAAAGGCTAGGATTTACTACTTATAGCTAACAAACAGAGAGAGGCTACTTTTATTGATCTATTATCGATGCCTAGAAAGAAAGAATCATAGGATATCATTTACTTTCATTGAAATATGTTATCAAGCCAGAATAGGATATAACTCATGGATTTATAACTCAAATATTAAAGATGTAAACTGTCTAACATATTTATTAAATAGGCTTGCAAGTATCAGGATTAAGTCACTCTTAACACAGACATACTTCACATGTACCAAGTATAACTTACTCATCTGAATGTGTTTACATAGCTATAAAATCTCCAAATTAAATATCAATTAGGAAAAGTAAAAATATTGCTATGAGAACGAACATGTGAGATTTAAGTGCTAGGAGAAAATTACAAAGGACTTCCTGTGACATGACTTAAGAAGGTATCAAATTTGTGGTTGATTTTTTTAAAAGTAATTATGTTTTAATATCTCCCTAAATGTAACAGTTTCACTAATTCAGCAAAGGTATTAACCAACTTATCAGTCTTTACCACTATTGTTTTTCCTAGATTCTAAAGTGCCAAGGTGGAAAATAATTACACACACATACAATCAGTTAATATTGTAACCCATAGGTTATTTATATGCAATTTGAAAGCCTCCTTGTTTTTCTATGGGAAATATTCAATGTCAACCTAACTACCTGGGTCTTAGTGAATTTATTCTTGTTTAAATTTAGATTTAATAACAGCAAAATACTGTACAATTTCATATAACATCTATTCCTGTTTTAGACAAAAGATGGATTGAGAACAAAATTATATTTGATTTATGAAAGTGCTCATATCAAACTTGGATAGATTGACAAAATTATATTTATGAACAGTAATAGCAATGAAGTATTAGCCATGTGGTTTCTCATCTTTTGAAAAATATTTCATAAAATGTAAAAAAGGAAAACTAACCTTCTTTGCACTTTTTTCATATAGTAAGACATATGCTATTTTGATTTAAGCTGCATATTGTTGGAAGTAAGTTGTAAAATATATAAATTCTGCCAAGGACACAGAAGGTAATTCAGTCAAGAGTAATTGTGTCGACTTCTAACTCAAATTAAATTTGATTTTTTGAGCACTGAAAGTGAGATCATAAAGGGTATTTTTAAATCTACACTTGTTCAATTACCAGTTGAGTTTTTATACTAAAGTATATTTATTATAATCAGAATAAATTTGAACTTTATATTTAATTAAACATTGCTTAGAGTCAAGGAAGTATTTCAAGTTTAATAAGACCTTGCTTTATTTTTACTCACTTTGAAAGGAAAACTTAATTTGTTTCTTTTTTATGTTTTATAGTTGTATTATAAAAATGATATAATTTGAAATGAATGTTTCAAAGGAGAAACAGCTATCAAAATCCTGATCCATAACTATTCTATTACATATTCTCATGGAGATTTACAGAAAAGATACACCTATTTGTATATATCGTGTTAACTATGAGTAGTTATATTTACAAAGTACTCATCTTTTTCTCCTAGTTTCTTCTAGCAAATCAAAAATTCTCATCAGGATCTCTTAACTCTTTCACATAGGGAAGGGAAATAATATTTATCTAAAGTCTTTTTTGTGCAATGCTTTCTGGAACGTATATATGCATAATTATTACTCCTACTTTACAGGTAAGGAAATCAAAGATAGACATGTCCAATTAATAAATAACAAAACTAAAACCCAAGCAAAATGTGCCCAAGAACAAAGCCTTTAAATTATAGGTTAATGCTTTGGGGGTTCTCTTACAGCTGATGGCCGTACAACTCTATTTGGAGATCTCAGCTTCTGTTTTATAAAACATAAGCTTACAAAACAAAACAAGAAAACCTTACACCAGCCTTTGTAGAGTTGTTTATTCTTTGTTACTATGAAGGGCTCAAGACCTTAGCATTGAAGTAACGATCTCTTTTCTCAACAACAAGCAATATAAATAGAAGTTTCAGGACCAATGCAATATTAACATAATGATCTCAAAACAATCTTGCATGCAGCAGTTTTTTCCTCTTTGTTAATTATTTCACAGTGAACCTTCTATACAAATTGTCCTCCTATTAGGCATTATGTTTTCTGCTCGGTCAGCTGAAGTAGAGTCTCATTACAATGGAAAGCACGGCAAAAGATTATTGGTTTCCTAACGTCCTCACACTAAGTGTGACATAAGCATGTTCATAAATGATCTATGTCTTCATGTCTATACTACACACAGTGCGCTAAAATGAGAGGCTTAGAAAAAGAAGGTCCACAGCAAATTCTTGCTCTGTCACTTACTAGCCTGGTGATCTTCCACAGATCACTTAGCATCTATCCGATAGAGAAAAAAAAAGATGAACACAGTGGTTCCCAAATTTTGCTGCCCATGAGAATCACCTGCAGAACTTTTGAGACATCCCAATCCCCAGGTTGCACCCCACAGAAATTAAATCAGGATGTTCAGGCACAGGAGCCCAGTCTGAATCATTTTTAAAGACACTCAGGTGATTCCAATGTGCAGCAAGGTTTGGGAACCACTGCGTTAACTAACACTTTCAAAGAGCTGCTTTTAAGATGGAAAATATAATGGAGGGGCTTTGTATATAGCATACAGTACTTCACAGAGTGATGTAAAATATTATCTCCAAAGTAAGTACAGAGCTGTAAAAAAAATGCATTATTTTAGGGAGCTTAAGTTTTGTTTGAATTTTAGTTCAGTAATCATAAAGAAACTATACATGAGTAATCAGATTTACTTTTTTTTTTGCCACAGTTGCAGAAAATTTAACAATTTTTAAGTTTTTATGTTAAGCTATTTTCAACATTATTTTAAACTTATTTTTTCTTATGCTTTTTCTTTCTCTTTTAAAAATTAAAAAGTGTCATCTATCTTGTTTCTTCCAAAAAATACCAAGCATCAGGGGCACATGGGTGTCTCAGTCGGTTGGATGTCCAACCTCTGCTCAGGTCATTCTCTCACAGTTCGTGGGTTTGAGCCCTGCGTGGGGCTCTGTGATGACAGCTCAGAGCCTGGAGCCTGCTTCAGATTCTGGATCTCCTTCTCTCTCTGCCTCTCCCCTGCTCATTCTTTTTCCCTCACTCTCTCAAACATAAATAAATAAAACAATGTAAAAATTTTTAAAAAGATAACAAGCATCATACTCTCATTATGAACTCATAATAATCTTAAAAGAATATGTGCACAAAGGAAATCTGAGCAGTCAGAAAAAAGTAATTTGTCTAAAGTTACTTAGTTCAATTCTACTACTTACAAAAAAATTACACACTCCAGATACTTTATTCCAATGATCTATTATAATAATCTATGTGGAAACAAAGACCTATTCAGTAAATCTTTCTTGACCAGATTTTGTTCATCACCAGATTACATAAATTATTTCTGTGCTAAATTTGTAATCAATACATCAGATTCAACCAGCTTATACACAGTACATGTTTTGTATTAATACCATCAATTTTCATAACCTTCTAGTTAGTTAGACTTACTGAAAGGATTATGTAATTTATGTACAGTGCAAATTACATGTTGCCTGATTAAAATGCATCCTCTGTGTTTTGTTAATAGACATATTAATGCACCATCGACAACAAAATACTAAAATTAACCTCTGTTCATAAGCAACTACAAATGTAATCCGTCTCCTGAATGATTTTGCCTGGGGATCTCCTACCTTTGTAGGCTTGTTAGCATCCATGCCCTCTTTGAATTTCTCCTGCATGGTTTCTGCAAGTTGACAGAGCAAGGCACCATTATCCAATTTTTCCATAAAAGTTTCTGCCGTAATCTCCTTCCCTGCAATAACAAAAAGGAGAATTATAAAAGCATAAGCATTCCCCAATGCAAATATGACATTCATGCCAACATATCTGACACACAGCTTTTATCACCAAAACTTCTATTCCAGCTGGGTTGCATATCTGGGATGGGAACACAGGAAAAGAATGTTTCTCTGGAATTTTATGTTTTCCTCTGGTGGCAAGAATCTCAACATTTTAGATGTTCATGACATAATTTCAACTGCATAAAAGTTTTATTTCACATTCAAAATGGCAAAGAGATATCCTATGTGAGAGTCCCTCCACTTGGCAATCCAGAGGAATAAAAACCAACCAGTCAACGAAATTCAAAATGTTTTTCCCATGATTGCAGTTTGACCCCTGAGATGCACTCAACTTACCCTCAGGAGCCCATTTGATTACTCTGGCCCACAAGGAGAAGGCAGAAGGCAGAGCCTGCATCCTGTGTTTTGTTTATGTCTTTGACTACAAGAACACCATAAGCTCTCTTTTCTTTAATTTGAAATAGAGTCACAGTGCATTGAAAAGTCAACCACCATTGGCAACTGTAGTGGCACGGCCAATGTGTAAACCACATCTCTAAGTTCTATTGAGTTTGTTTTCCTGATTAAGATGATGAGGTGAAACTAATGCAACCCTGAAAGAAACACTACCCCTCTAACCATTCCTCTTCCTACCACCATCCTTGAACTGAGGATTATTGGGTTCCGTTTCTGCTTTTCTCTCTCCTCAAAACCACTCGGCTTCTTCTACCGCTCTTATGACCATGATTTACCATTGTTCATCCCTGGCAGTTAACCAGTTAAAGGTCGTTTGTCTTCATTCTTCTATTCTCCCCAAACAGATTTTGTTTCTTCATTTTCCTTTTATTTTATAATGGCTTCATTGTGATATAATTCACATACCTTACAATTCACCCATGTAAGTGTATAATTCAGTGGCTTTTAGTAGACTTGTGCAATCATCACCATGAGCAATTTCAGAATATTTTATCACCCCAAAACGAAACCCTATACCCTAAACCTGTTACTCCTGATTCCTTCTTTCTTTCAGTGTTATAAACCACTATTTTTTTCTTATATGCAACCCAAATTAACCTCTCCCCTTTTCATGCACTCTAAGTCTCTAAGTTTCAACATATTTTATTTTCCTACCTTAATTTCCTATAACTTATGAGTCACAGCTCCTATAGATCCATACTTCCTTTTATTTCTGGTACCATAATATTAATAAGAATTTTGGGGGTGCATGGGTGGCTCAGTGGGTTGAGCATGTGACTCTTGATTTCAGCTCAGGTCATGATCCCAGGGTCATGGGATTGAGTCCTGTGTCAGGCTCCATGCTGAGTGTGGAGCCTGCTTAAGATTCTTTCTCTCTCTCTGTCTCTCTCTGTCTCTCTCTCTGCCCTTCTCCCTCACTGTCTCTATCTAAAATAAATAAAATGGAAAAAAAATTCTTTTTTAATTTTCATGATTTGATATTTAAACCTCTAGCAACAAAAACAATGGCTATTCCTTGTATCCTCAACTTCCTTCTCCAATACATATCACACTCATTGCTAAAATTATTGTTGCTAAACACTACCCTTCCTGGGTCATTATTCTTCTTTATTGCATAGTCCCTAATCTTCTGTGCTACCCCAAATATGAAATATATCCACTTTAACATACCCAAAGGATGAGCCTTATGCCTCTAATCCACTTTTCTAACCTAGCATCTTTATAGTCTCCTTGATTCTTGGTCTACACAGTGCCTTCACTGTTTCTCTAGCAAGACCTTCCCATTCCTACCACCAAGCCTTTCTTCCTGGTGGGCCCCTGTCTGCAATATCCTCCTACCTTATATCTGCCTGACCAAGTTCTATCTTTCCTTTAATCAGAAATCCACAAAGAGATTCTCCCAGTGTACACTGCTCTCTTTTCTAGATGGCCACACTCAAAGGCATCACTCATTTTGGTAACTTTCCAAACTTCTTCTACTGCTAGTAATATGCTTTGTGTAAAGTTCTTGTCTTCCTCAAACTTCTTTTTTTTTTCCTTTTTCTTTAATTTTATTTTTTAAAATTTACATCCAATTTAGTTAGCATATAGTGAAACAATGATTTCAGGGGTAGATTCCTTAGTGCCCCTTACCCATTTAGCCCATACCCCCTTCAACAACCCCTCCAGCAACCCTCAGTTCGTTCTTCATATTTATGAGTCTCATCTGTTTTGTGCCTCTCCCTGTTTTTATATTATTTTTGTTTCCCTTCCCTTATGTTCATCTGTATTGTCTCTTAAAGTCCTCATATGAGTGAAGTCATATGATTTTTGTCTTTCTCTGACTAATTTCACTTAGCATGATACCCTCCAGTTCCATCCTCGTAGTTGCAAATGGCAAGATTTCATTCTTTTTGATTGCTGAGTAATACTCCATTGTATATATATACCACATCTTCTTTATCCATTCATCCATCGATGGACATCTGGGCTCTTTCCATACTTTGGCTATTGTTGATAATGCTGCTATAAACATGGGGTGCAT